TGTGTGTGTTTTTGTCTTCCATTTAAGTACCGAATCTGATTTAACTAGTTTTGAATTCTGAGAAGACTTGTTAAAGGCATTTAATGCAGTTTTTAACCCGATTTTCAAAGCCAATATTCTAGTCATTTATCTACATACTGAGTTGAAACCACACTGTCCCAATGTATACTGACCCCCATAGAGCAAAAATTCCCAAAATTCTGACGGAAAATGGTTACTTGAAGGGCCCTGGGCTGATTTTTAGGGTACCACCTAGTCCTAGAAAATAAAGGACTCATCTTGGGACTTGTTTCTGCAGTTTTAAATGCCCAAAGTATGAAATGCTGATTTAAATGTGCTAATGTGAAGCAGTATGTGTCAATATCACAAAGTTTGCCCTACTCAGAATATTTCCAGTTTTGCTGCCCTGAAATCGCATTGGATGCCTTTAAAATATCACAGGCAGACATTCTGAACTAAGGCCACACCAATTTAATTTGTTGGTTCTCGGATTCGCCTCTTCATTTTTTTCTGATTTGCAAAAAAAAAAAAAAAATTCTGGTTCTGAATCAACTCAAAAATGCTCATATTTTGCCCCCAACAGTTGAGGAAATTCCTTTTCTTCCTAGTTGTTTCAGTTTTTTCCATCTATCAATGCAGTAGTTTGATTAAAAGTTCAAAATTTATACTTCAAATTTTAACCCAGCCTTTTTTGTTGACTTCGTGGCTCATATTGTAGCATTTGGGGCTATAATAGGATGCCTACACCTTTTTTTTTATTTTTATTTTTTTTCCGCCCTGTCGCTTCATATTTTTTCTGAAAAAATCCGAGAACCAACAAATTAAATTGGTGTGGCCTAACCTTGATGGCAAGGTTAGCCATAACACCACAACACAAGTTAGCCCAAACACCTGCTGAATGTATATTTTGCCCACAAGGAAGGACAAAAGACATATCCGGGTAGCTCACATTGTTGGAAGACATCCTTTTCATCTTGTGTAGGACATGCAACATTGAGAACAGTAGATACAACAATCAGACAATGTACATTGTATCTGTATCTGTATCTATATAGCCGGTATAACCACCTTTCGGCGTAACACACCAGCTTCGCAGGCACGCGGCGCGGCGGCGGCTGGCTATATTACACCGATCGACTTGTTACACCTAACCCTTGAACTTCTAGCTCTAGACATTGTTTGAAGCTATCTATTGACAATGCCCCTACTGTACTTGGTGACAGTGAGTTCCACTCTGCGATAGTTCTAGGAAAGAATGAATTCTTGAACACCTCAATCCTTGCATGGTTGATAACTCTGGTACTTGACGGCATGGCTATTTCTTGTTCTCTTCTGGGCTGGTATTAGGTACTTAGTAATTGGGAAATCCACCAGTTTATTAGTCATTGTATAGTTTATTAGTAATTATTGTAACATTGTATGTAACCAGTGTATATCCCACTAGCTTCTTCGTGGTCCAATTATATCCCAATGTTTCACCTCATAGATATATTGTAGACCAATATTTGATACCCTAGCAATCTTTTCATGTTTCCATAAATATCTGTAAATAATTTCATCAGGTTGGTAAATGAATGGTTTAGCAAAGTTCTTTGATCACAACTAGTGATGCATACCGGTTCACTTGACTTGGATCCGGACTTGTAAGAATGTTTAGGTTCAAGTCCAAAAAAACCTAAAAGTCAAGAACCAAGTCCGGACTTATTACCATGATAAAAGACCATTTTACATACCCCTTTTCTTCCCAAACCACCTAAAACCTTCCGTACATTGCAAAATCTTTGCTGCAAAATGAAGAAAACATTACCATCGGGCATCGTCAAGTACCGGCCTCCATGTTATGTGGCCAAAGTTTCACCCAGACAACATTGCAGGGTTGTCAACATGCAATATTGTACATGTATATGCCATGGGTTTAGGTCCGGACTTACAAGTCCGGAACTGAACCTAAACCTCTGGACTTGAATCCGGACCTGAACCTAAAATTGGGTTTAGGTATGCAGCACTAATCACAACAATTTATTTTTCACAAGCCGACGTTTCCATGACCGTCTGTCATCTTCATCAGGGCAATTCTGACTGTTTTACTGTGCACTGATGCTAGATGTTACTTGTTACTTGGTGTTTAATGTACTTTTCATGTTGTTGTTTTTCTTCTTCTTGCTTTTGCACATCTTCTTGCAGAATTTTCTTGTTTCTGTGTGTAGAAGAAAAGGTACAAGGTGATACAAAAGATCAATGCAAAAGATTGATGTTTAAAATAAGATGAACCCAGCAAAAAAAGCTCCTTTCTGAGGGAGCAAGTAAATTTGCAAAACATTTCTTTCAAGAGAGATGATTTAAAACAACCCACAAGGCCTTGATGCCTCCAGCACAAGTGCGTATTGAGGGACTGGAGCAAGTACGTATGCAAGAACTAGATGGGATAAACATTTATTACAACAAGAGAGATGATTTAAGACAACCCTCAAGTCCTTGGTGCCTCCAGCAAAAGTATTAGCGATACTGACTGATGTGTAGGTCAAAGATTATCCCAATCTGGTCCAGACTCATCTCAGCTACCAGCGGTCTGTCTGACCCTCATTTTACACACCTGCAGGTTCTGCAACAACCTGCCCCCCTCACCGCCCTTTCTGAGGGCCTGCATGGGGTGATTATGAACTACACAAAATTTTTGCCGCCGATTACGAATTGTGTTTAAGTCTCAGAGCTGATTATGACTTAATGAATTATGTTAATTTTGGGGGAGGCAGCCGAATTACGAAGACTAAAAAGGCTTTATTACGACTTACAAAAAAGGGTATGCAGCCCCCCTCCCCGCCCTCTCTCTCTTGCAGCTAACATAAATCACTTGAAGTTTCCTGCAGGCAGGGATGAGGCTGTTAGTGAATACAGATGCAGACATGTCCATGGGAAATAGCCGCACAGACACTGTTTCCATGTGTGATGTCTGGTCAGATGATTGGAAATATTCGAGGCCCCCCAAGCCATAAACTAAAAGGCTGTAGTCATAGCTGCAGTGATTTAGCCAGTGTCGTCTCATTTGTTGGAATTTTGCCGCTCATGACAGACAATTTTTGCCCAATTCGTCATCTTTGATGGGCAAAATTTGGTGTGTAAAGATACAGATGCAGACATGTCCATGGGAAATAGCCGCACATACACTGTTTCCATGTGTGATGTCTGGTCAGATGGTTGGAAATATTGAAGAGGGCCTGCAAGGGGGGGTCCCGACAACGCTCTACGCTAAATTTGGAAACCTCTCGATTACACTTTACGATAAATTCCAAGTGGCTACAACGCATTACGTAGAATTAAAACGCCGAATACGCTCTACGCAAAAATATTAGTCTAAGAGCGGTCCGTCTACGCTCTACGTAGAATTAAAACGGCCGATTACCCTCTACGCTTCCAAGGCTCAAGGCTTCCAAGCCATAAACCTAGGCTGCAGTGATCTAGCCAGCGCTGTTTCATTTGTCGGAATTTTGCCGCTTATGATGGACAAAAATTTTGCCCAGTCCATCATCTTTGATGGCCAAAAATTTGTAAGGAAAGCTATTGAAAGAAATGTGACGAAACTAAGCTTAGTACCAGCAAGATTTGTCCCTCAAAATGCTCGAAAAAGCATTCCAGAGGGTCAAGATTTCAAAATTTAACATGATAAGACCAATCCCCTACAATTGTACTTCTGGCCTGTACACATGATTTTATCTGACACAAAATTGAGATGATAGAAAAATAATTCAGGCTGGCTACATCACATGTTACTAATAGCCTCTACCAGACTTTGGGAGGCGGGTGGAAAGAGTAGGTAAAAGTCTCTCTAGCAGACCAACTCCCCTGGCATGTTATCTCCCTACTTGGCCAATTTCTACTCTCTCCCGAAGTCTGGTAGAGGCTACATGTTACTAAGAACACTGCTAGGTTGCCTGTACAGACCTAAACACTGGTAGTAAGGTGTTACAGAGTGACCCTAGAAGAAGAAAGTGATTGATGACTAGGATAAGTGTTGCCCTGAGCACAGGTAGCTCATGTTACACTGTACTTTATCTCTGCATGCACATCTCAGAACCCAAAATTGTTCACAGGTGGAATTTTGTCTTGCAAGGATTGAAGATCTCACCTTTGCCCAATGTTTGAGACATATTTAATTGGAAAATGATATTTAAGCTCATATCTGAAGGATTTAAAAAGGAAGGTTATGACTTAATTAGATATTCTCTTGGCATGTTTTTGCTTATCAAGATTCAATAGATTGCAAGCTGACAAAAGGCAACATATGATTGATTGCATGCCAAAAAATGGGCGATATAAAGAAGCTTTATGTAGAAAGTTATGATTTGGTTCAGGTGACATAATAAATTTAATGATAACTGCATCCATATGTATACTTTGTGTCTTCAGTAAGAATTTTTCCCCAACGTGCCCCAAAGTGTTCACAACCCCCCAAGTGAATGAAAGGGAAATAATTGGGTTAAATTGGGTAAGTGTGATTGGCTGAATGTCATACCGATTAATGACTTTTGGCCCAGCTGGACTGTATAAACTTTACAGGGTAATGGATGGGGGTCAGGGACCTTTCCTTTAGGGGGAAACTGTTTTTCTGTAAAGCACCCTGAAGTGAGGGTGTGATGGGGGTTTCTGCAGAGAGGTTTATGGGGAAAAAGCAATGTGTGATATGGGTAGATTCTTCTGTCTGAACACAGGTGAAAGTTAACCGAAAGATCGAAACCAAAAGTTAACTTTTGAAAGTTTTATTTTGTTTGTTGTCAACAAAACTCCTTGCACAGGAGGTGGTGTCAAATGGTAGACTTGTCTGAAGGGTTTACAGTGGATCACTCCAAATTTCTGGTCCCCTAGCAACTTCTTCTCTAACTGCAATGTTTATCTTAAGCCCAATAAACTTTTCTGCCTTTTCAGACATTTGTGTGTTCTTTTTAACGTTCATTTCATAGTCATCTACAGAATGATTTATGTCAAATATTCCTTTTGTTTTGCAGGAAAAACACAGGAATGTTCGAGAAGGTATCCTATCGACCGTGGCTTGCGGTGTACTCCTGCTAGGATTCCGTGTCTACTTCATGGGAAACAAACCGCCGGAATTTGCACCCTCGGACAACCCAGCGTCAGATTCCGACAGCTTCTTAGCAAGAACTTTGACCTTTAACCTTTTACCCTCGCTGAACATGTTGTTGCTTTTATATCCGCGGCTGCTAAGTTTTGATTGGTCGATGGACGCAATCCCCCTGGTGGAATCTGTATGGGACGTGCGTAACCTTTGCACTGTGACCTTTTATTTGACCTTGGCAGTAGTTGCCGTGCATTGTATCACAGAGATCAGTAGAACGCCACAAGTTGAACAGAAAGCGAAAAGTAACGGCGTCGCTCACAATGCTGTATACGGAAACGGCATTTCAGAACACAAACATTCGCCATCGTCGAGAAAACACTCGAACAATTCGTCGGCGAGTTCGACCCACAAGGTCAACGCGAGACATTCCACAGAGACAAGGTCGCTCCATGTTTTGTTACTCTCGGTAGCCATCATGGTGTTTCCCTTCATTCCCGCATCGAACCTGTTTTTCTACGTCGGGTTCGTGTTAGCGGAACGTGTACTGTACATCCCGAGCATGGGATTCTGTTTACTGGTCGCGGAGGGGACCCATGTGCTGTACGAGACCGCGGGACGGGCGTGGCGGAAGGTTGTTGTCATGGTGACGGTGATGCTGGTTGTGGTGTACAGCGCGAGGACCGTGGTGAGGAACGAAGACTGGCACGATGAGGAAGCGTTGTACCGGTCGGGCATCAAAGTCAACCCAGCAAAAGGTATGATGTGTTCTGGGTTTTCACCAGAAATATGCTAAGCGTAGGGATCAGGTACAGAAGGACAACTTCCTTCGGAGCAAGCTGTCCATCAAATCCCAAAGACATGACCACAGTAGGGGGTCTGGTATCCAAATTATGTAAAGTCATGTTTTTTCCAAGCATTGGACTCAGAACCAAGAGGTCCCGGGTTCGATACTCACCGTGGCCCGACGTTGTGCCCTTGAAAAAGACACTTTACACGACTTCCCCACCTGTACGGTGTAGTGACGCCCACCGAGCCTCATAGGCTAATCTGTCTGTCAGGGTGCCAAAAACACCTTACGGATTTGGTGCGCCGATGTGACAACATCTGCACATTGGCCACTGAGAGCCGTAAAATTTTTTTATAGCTTCATTCTAAAGTCAAATATTAAAGTTTAGTAAGATTTATAAAGCGATGTCACATAGTTCTCCCCCAAAGACACCCCTATGCTGGTTGAAAGACAAAGCTCAAATTCAATGTATTCATAACATGTACGACATCCATTGAATATGGTTGTGTGACCTTGCAGTGTGTAAGGACATTTGGTTTCAAAAAGCTCCTTCCTACCAATTATGTCTCTGTTGCTTCAAACAGGTGTTACTTGGCCTGGACACAAAGAACAGTAACATTATCAATCTATCAAACTGCACCCAAACCCCCCAAAAGGGACAGTCAAATTATGGGCCAGTATTTCAACAATTTCAAACTTCCACCTCGCACTGTTTCATTATCTTTGGCCCAACGCGATTTTAGATATCGGGTATGGGAGGCATCCAGCCTCCTGGCTTGAACAGTTATTTGGGTTATCGACCAATCAGAAAGTGCGTTCTGGTCATTGATTGATGGAAAATGTAGGTACAATTGGGTCAGCTTTGTCAATTGGGTCACAACTGTTCTTTTTCGAGATGAAGAGTATGTTAAACAGTCCACATGTCTACGTCGATGAAGGTTAGACATCCAGGTATTATGATAGGCCAAAAAGCAGTTACTCAAGCGATTGGATATGATTTTGGAAACGGTCAGACGTTTCAGCTAGTATCCACTAGCTTTCGTCAGTGACTGTCCATATGTCTACTTTGGATTTCATTCTTAGGTTTAGAAAAATTGCCATATTTTGTACATTCCTGTTTGTTACTACTAGTACTAGAGTATGCATGCCAAGCCAACTGTACTGAATTTTTGGCACTGATACCCAGGAAAATGAGTATTAAGTGCTCCCTTACTTCCCCACCATTCCTTACCACAAAAAAGCAATTTTACTACTAAAATCAAAGAACCCACATATTATAGAAGAAGTGGGTAAATTCGTCTTCCATTGCCTAAAAAGAAGAAGTCAAACCCAGTAAAACTAGTGTCATGTCATGTTGTAGCATATAGTATAATGTTAGAAGTAGATATAGTCTCACATATCACTGTATTTTCTTTCTATGTTGTTTGTAACTGCAATTAGCCCTCGGGCAAGTATTTGCAATAAACTTTCTATTCTATTAAGTGTTAAACAGATCCAGGATTCAGTCATATTGATATTTTGCATGTCTTTGATTTGCTCTCAGTCCTGTAGAAAGCTGTAGATAGTCTGTGATGCAGGATTGACAGTGATAAAACGCCACCTAGTAATTAGACATAGTACTGCATGGCCCTTGCACTGACCAACCAATCACTTCAATACATCTGGTACATGTATTATGTTTGTGTCCTGCCAACGTCAGTTGAAAGTAAACCTGTGTATATTTTTCCTAGATTTTAATTAGGCAATTAGGTTATTCTCTAATAACTACGGATAATTAGTAGATATCAATTTGTGCAAACGTACATTTGTAGCTTTGACCATTATGCACATGAAAATCATACTTTTATTTCAGTTACTTGTACCAAAGTGCTATTATAATAATAACTTTAAAGATAATTACATTTGGGGCAATAAAATGTGATGACGTCATCCATATGGTCCATAAAATCATAATCATAACCCTTTTGTACCCAGCTATCAATATTCAGTACAACTACAGTTCTTTCTAAATTTCTTTGTGAGAAAACGATGGAAACTTAAAATGCCAAATTAGCCAGGGAGGACACCTTAAACTAAATTTTGTTTCTTCTTTCTAGCATGGGGAAACCTGGCTAATATCCTGAAGACACAAGGAAACGTAGACGAGGCAGAACAGGCCTATAGGAACGCCCTACAACACAGGGGCAACATGGGAGATGTGCACTACAACCTGTGAGTAGATGTTGAGATAATCAATGAAAGAACCAAGACCTTGTAGACTATTCTAATCTTTTTTGTTTACTTGAGCCTTTGTTCATTTATTAAAAACTCAAATGGACTGCTTCTGTTTCAGACACTACAAAAGTTGTGTTGAGATGAAGGCAAAAACGAATTTGCTGCAATTTGCTAATAGTAATACATTGTAATTTTTTTTCTGTTTTCCTGCAGTGGGATTTTGTTGCAGGAGGGTAAGAGATACCAGGAGGCAATCCAGAGTTACCAGATGGCCATTCAGTGTAGACCTCGACTAGCAAGTAAGTTCTGTGGGAAGAAAAACTGTACTTAAAGACAGACTAAGGGAGGTAGTAAGAAATGAAAGTTAAGTACATTCAGAAACAGCCATAACCTCAAACTTCTGCCCCATACCACACTGCAACTTTGACTATCAAGTTTGTCCTCTGTATCTGTATAGCCGGTATAACCGCCTTTCGGCGTAACACACCATCTTCGCAGGCACGCGGCGCGGCGGCAGCTGGCTATATTACACCGATCGACTTGTTACACCTAACCCTTGAACTTCCAGCTCTAGACATTGTTTAAAGCTATCTATTGACAGTGCCCCTACTGTACTTGGTGACAGTGAGTTCCACTCTGCGATAGTTCTAGGAAAGAATGAATTCTTGAACACCTCAATCCTTGGTTGATAACTCTGGTACTTGGTCCTGTAGGACAAAAAGATGACAGAATACATAAAACATGAACATGTTTATGTTGTGTATTGGCATTCTTCTTATTAATTAAGTCAATAAAGAAAGTCATCAATTGAGAAAAAAAATAAAAAGATTATACTTAAATACAGACTTAGAGAGATCGTGGGTAGTTAAATAAAGAAGAGAATATGTTTTCAGAAACAGATCGTTTACCCTAAATGTGTGGATGTTATAATGAAGAGTTCAATTTTTGTGTAAATGTACAAAATATATTAAAACTAAGGTTTTGTCTACTTTACTCCAGTGGCACATCTTAATCTAGGCATAGTGCTGAGCACCCTGGGAAGAACAGAGGAGGCGGAGAAAGTTTACAGGCACGCGGCCACGTTGGACGACCATGGCCTGAAGGACCCCAAGGCCCACGCCACGGGGGTCATATCAGCCATATACAACCTGGGGAGACTGCTACACGACCAGGGCCGATACTCCGTAAGTAGAATATATTTAGTCTCTACCAGACTTAACTACGCTGGCTATATATAGGAGAATATTTGCCAGGGGGGTTTGGCTGCCTTGGGGTTTGACTGGCCGCGCAGTTCGGAGGGAAAGAAACAACCTCCCCGCGGCCGGACTCCCCTGGCCAATTTTACTCTTTTTTTTTTTCCCGAAATCTATGATCCATATTCCCGTAGAAAAACCTGGTGAAGGCTAGAGTTTATTCTTCTAGTTGTTTCTTAGGAGAGCAAAGAAGAAATTTGTTATAAGCTGCAATAAATAAAATTGTGATTCGAACTTTACCACTGGATAAAATTGAAACAATTCATTAACAGATGTGTACTATTATTAGGTTCCTTAAATCTTATATAAACATTTTTTCTACTCTTCAACAGTGAAAAAAAAATGTTTATATAAGATTTAAGGAACCTATACTACAGTTGTTTAGTACAGTTACAGGTAAAAACAATGGTAAGGGTAGGGACTCCTATTTCAGCACTAAGGACAGGGACAGCACCATATGGAGTATAAAGGTCTATGAAGCCAACAAAATTGTATCCACTGTTTTCTGTGGTTGTTTCTAACAAGAGCAAGGAAGAAATTTGTAATGATCTGCACTAGCATAGTTGTTTAGGACCATTTTGGCCAATAAAACAGAAACAGTAAGAATATGGGATGCTGGTTTCAGCACCAAGGACAGAAAAAATGCCATATGGAGTATAAAGGTCTATGAAGCCAACAAAATTGTATCCCCTCTTTCTGAAGATAGCATTTCTGAAATTCAGACTTATTTCACTATGTAGTATTTATCTGTCATATATTTATAGTGTCATTGTAAAGATTTTTCATGTGAAAACATGTAAGTTAGTATCTTTGATTCAATGTTTGTTTGTTTGATTGCTTTCAGGAGGCAATAGACACATATATGGAAGCAATAAGAAGAAGACCCAGTCATTATGCACCCCAGAGTCTCTACAATATGTTAGGTAAGTTAACAGGTATTGGAGGAAATACTGTACTTCAAAACTTACCATTTCAGATCTTGCATTGTATACATGGCTTTTTAGACAAGGCACACAGCAAAAATTTCTGAGAAGAGGCAAACAGGAAAAATTTCTGGCGACACAAGCATTTGGAAACACGAGTATTTAAAAAATCTACAAAGTTTAACACATTGGCCAAACATTGTTGATGCTTGAAAATCTGTGCTTAAATGTCTACACAGGACATTTAAGACAACTCAAACTATACTACTGGATGAATAATAGAGATAACTTCTGTACATTTTGAGTGACATCCGTCACTCTTCTTCAGTGTCACTAAATGAATTGAGAGCACAAGTTGACACTAATCACATGTGAAGGAACTGGAAAAAACAGTTGAACATGACCAACATGTCCACACAGGATACTTTAAAAAGCTGTTTTTGCCCCAAGCCAGTTCTCAAAAGTGTTTTTTTTTCTTGTAGGTGAGTCCCTGTTTAAGAACGGCCAGCTCGCTGAAGCAGAGGACTGGTTCAAAAAGTCGCTGACTGCCAAACCTGACCACGTGCCAGCACATCTTACCTACGCCAAGCTCATGGCAAAAACGGTAGGAGTCCTAGTATTATCATTTGTGTTTTCCCCTCAATACTTATTATATTATATAAGTAGCACTGTTGTATATTACAGTTACTGTATCCTTGTTCTCACTTGTTAGTTGGTGGCATGGACTGAAGACTGAAGTTTATAGTGTAATTTAAAACTATTCAGGAAATTTCAGTTACTGAGGGAAGCTTTATTGCATGTTCATGCCCATGGGGCTAAATGCATACATTGATCATTGGAGTATGAGTATGTATAACATTATAATACATTAGGATATAAGGATACAAGAATAACGTAAAAGTCTTAGAAACTACTAGAGAATACCTTCTATCTAATCTAGGTCGTAAAGATTTCTTTTTTCTTATTAGTAACTAACTTGCTTTCTCAATTTGCTACCCTAAATTTTCCAGTGTTGGATTTGTTGATTGTCAATTTGGTAGTGCACTCACAATGAATGAATGGAAAAGAAAATGACAGTTATGCCATTTTGGAATGTTTTTGCACAGAACCGTGCAGTTGAAGCAGAGCAGATGTACCAGAAAGCAATGGAGCTGGACTCCAACAGTGCTACAGTACATCAACACTATGGTGAGTTGTTACAGCTGTTCTCATTGGCCAGGATATAGGATGGTGTTGCGTTGTTACAGCTCTTCTCATTGGCCAGGATATAGGATGGTGTTGCGTTGTTACAGCTCTTCTCATTGGCCAGGATATAGGATGATGTTGCGTTGTTACAGCTCTTCTCATTGGCCAGGATATAGGATGGTGTTGCGTTGTTACAGCTCTTCTCATTGGCCAGGATATAGGATGGTGTTGCGTTGTTACAGCTCTTCTCATTGGCCAGGATATAGGATGGTGTTGCGTTGTTACAGCTCTTCTCATTGGCCAGGATATAGGATGGTGTTGCGTTGTTACAGCTCTTCTCATTGGCCAGGATATAGGATGATGTTGCGTTGTTACAGCTCTTCTTGTTGGCCAGGATATAGGATGATGTAGCATTGTTTCAGCACGTCAGCAGAACGTACTGCACCTGCGCCAAACCCGTAATGTATTGTACATAGCATTTCGGCAGAATGTCTCATATAAGGTTGTATTCGCTCATATAAGGTTAGCATTTCGACAGTAGTTTCCAAATGTTATGTCGGAAAGAATATCCTCTGCAACAGGCAAAATTCTGATGCAACGTTGACCAAAAACCCAACGAAAAACGCGAAAATACGGGGTTCTGCGCAGGCGCAGTACGTTCTGCCGACGTGCTCATTGTTTCAATTTTGAAAATCACAAGTTTTTAGGGAATTGTGTTGGAATCTCAGTATCCTTGTAACTTTTGTCTGAGATTTCTTGATTCATTTCTTCTCAAACATCATAGAGTTACACAAAACTTTACCTCCACCATTACATGTATACATGTATATGTCTTATATTTGTTAGAAAACCTTGCGAATTATTATGAAAATGATTTTCTCATCTTCAGGGCAGTACATGGCAGAAACTGGTAGAAGTGAGGAGGCTGCAGATATGATGGTTAAAGCAGTGGAACTCGGTAGTCCAGAGTTCGAAACCATCTTCAACGCTGCCAATGCTTTACGGTAAGAATATTTTGATGCCAAAATTTAATCAAATTTAAAAGGCCCATGTTGAAAGCAATACTTTTTTATTCTCAAAAGGAAAACATATTGTTTTTGTTCTGTTTCTTTTCCTCCTTCTCCAAACAAATAAGGTCAATGACCGAACCAGATGTCTGTCACCATGGTAACTAGTGTTGGGTTACATCATATTGCAGTTTTATAAGGGAGGATTTAGACTCCGGACACCATAAATATGAATGTGTTTGAGTAAGAATTGACAGTGCAGACATAAGTGAAGGTAAACATTATGCATTTGTTTTGCAAATGTTACCTTTCTAGTTTTTCTGCTAAATCCGAATGGTTGTTCAGAGGAGTCTGCATAGCTACATAGTAAGGTATTTTGTCAGTATGTTACTGTTACATTATACTGAGATAGTGAGAACACTGATGAAAGAATATTGTGCCAACAGGCAAGCTGGCAGACATGACGATGCGGAGAAATACTACAAACAAGCCACCCAGCTGAAACCTGAGGTAAAACCTGATGAAATTACATGAACTGTTCATCAACCAAAACAAACAAACAAACAAACAGGCTATGTGATCATGTGTTCATCAAGTCATGTGCAAATTTGATTTTGAAATGAGATAGATCATTGTGCCTGAAATGTATCCAGTTTTAGTTGCTTCCTTGCGTTTTGTGCAAGTTTGTAAGTCCAGTTGAGGAACTCTCCTACCTTGGTGCATACTGTTTTCAGTACAATGAAGTTCTGTATTTGTATCTGTACATGCATAGCAAGTAGAACTGCCCTTTGGCATAACACATCAACTTCACATGCACACATTGCAGTGGCACTTTACTTTAGAGCTATATGATGATGCCCCTACTGTACTTGGTGGCAGCAAACTCCATTCTACAATACTTCTAGAAAAAAGAAGAATTTTTGAGCATTTCAATCCTTGGATGATAACTCTGGCACTTGAAGGCATGACTGTGTCTTGTTCAAGTTCTACCTGTGCCCCCCCCCCCTCAAGCTCAACCTGTGCCCCCCTCCCGCAGGTTGCCAGTGCACATATGAACCTGGGAGCGATCCTACATCTGAACGGGAAGTATGTCGAAGCCGAGACAAGCTACCTTAGGGCGCTGGAGCTCAAGCCTGATGACACCATGACCATGCAGAATCTGAAAAAACTGCGGACAATTCTACACAAACAGCAGAGTAGACGTTAGACCACACATGGGCACTAGTGCTGTGTACCGGTTTGCTGGACTGGTTCCGGACTTGTAAAGATGTTTAGGTTCAAGTCCAAAAAAAAAAACCCTAAAAGTCAAGAACAGATTCGGGACTTATATACAAAAAAAATGTCACATACCCCTTTTCTTTTCAAACCACCTAAAACCTTCCATAGATTTCAAAATCTGTGCTGCAAAATGAAGAAAACATTGCCATCGGGCATCGTCAAGTGTCGGCCTCCAAGTTATGTGGCCACAGTTTTGCCCACTCAACATTGCAAGGTTGCCAACATGCAATTTTGTATATGCCATGGGTTAAGGTCCGGGCTTACGAGTCCGGAACTGAACCTAAACCTCTGGACTTGAATCTGGACCTGAACCTAAATGTGGGTTTAGGTACACAGCACTAATAGGCACTGAAGCTTTTGTTTCTGTGTTTGAGCCATTCTTAGTTAACCTTCAACCTGTGAAATTTGCCTTTTGGCACCAAATATGTGTTGGTTACAGGGTTAGAGAAGGTTGAATGATGCAGTTTTGAGCTTTGCTAAATTATCGAAAATGTTGCAAACTCTTTCTAATTCTTACCCATGCAAAGCATTTTACTCTTTCCAATTCTAACATTATTCTGTTGGAACATGTATAAGAATAAGGATATATATGATTCTTGCTTGAGATTGTGTTAACAGACATGTACATACATGTGCATGTGCTTTATTCTTGGAAAACATGCAGATATTTATATGTAAATTTGTACAATATGTACAACAGCAATCCACACGTCTTGTTTTTATAGGATAGCATAACATAGGTAAAAAGGAAAAAAGAACTATTCTAGACTCGTTTGTTAAGCTCATTTGAAATGTTTTTGTTAATATCATTCCTAAATTGTGATTGATTACACCATCTGCCAATCAGGTGGTACTTTACAAAAGCAGTTTAGCCTGTTTCTAAGCTGAGCAGAGATTGGCTCACTGATAGTTAAAAAGAGACAGCCATGTAGTTTAGTTTTGTGATCTGTTTCATGCAGAGTTGCCCTCAAATGATTTTTGTCCTCACATTCAGTTGATCTGAATGTCAGTGATACACGTGCAATAAACAAAATGTTGAAGCAAAAAAGGTATATATTTTATTTAGTCATAGTTTAAATGTTTTATGTGCGTGTTTGTATATGTGTGTGCACGTGCGTGTGCATGGGTACATGCATGCTTGCGTGAGTGAGTGAGTGAGTGAGTGAGTGAGTGAGTGAGTGAGTGAGTGAGTGAGTGAGCGAGTGAGCGAGTGAGCGATCGAGTGAGCGATCGAGTGAGCGAGTGAGTGGGAGAAAGACTGTGAGTGAGACTGGTGTTGGTGTGTATGATGTGCATGAACAATATCATTTTTAGACTTTTGCATGACAAAACATAACCACAAACACATGCATGTATATACTAGTCAATGGTAGTATCATATTTCAGATTTAGATTTAGATCAGTTAGGCCATGTTGATTTGATTATATGGATGACATCCACTGGGAACCCCAAAACTGATGCGCGCGTGCGAATAAAATAAAAGTTTTGCAAAATAAAAAAGTTGCTTTCACTATGAAATCTACGTGGTCAAGAAGGTGGAACAAATGGCATAGAATGTGTTATAGCGAATAATCTACTCTTCGAATTCATTTGTTTACATTTTGTCCTTTTTCCTTTGATTTTGGCATTCTACGACATTGGTATCGTTTCTAAATGTTTTCCTTGCAACTTATGGTATATTTTTGCTCATTTAGCAACTGTTTTGCACGATTTACAGTATGGTTGAAAACTTTTTTTTTTTTGGAAATGGCCGAAAATTCATGCGCGCGCGGATGTCATCCATATAATCAAATCAACATGGCCTTATGTAGAATCATCGTAAAGTCAAAGTAGTTGCAAAACATCAATTGTAAGTCATCCAAACATTCTTTTCCATCAGGGACGGTATGGAATATTAAATTTCAGAAAATGGTGTAATACACCTACATGTACTTCCACAGTCAGTCTTGCTCTTTCTGCTCAGAGCTCATCGAAAAGCTCCTCCTGGTGAGCGTTGTTATATTGCATCAATCTAACGTTACACCTCATAGCATTTTGAAAGAACAAACTGACAGACATAAACACCATTACATTTGTTGGATGAATCTCGTTGGATGAATTTCACAGATTTGGTAGCTTTTCAGCCCTGACTATTTACAGAATACTTAGTATGTAGTGCCTAGCCTTTTAACATAGTAGCTTTTCCTGCAGTACCACCTACGAATGCATGGTGTCGCTTATACCATGTGCAGTCTTCGATAGTTTCGATAACACGTCCACAATGTACAAATGTATTGTCCATTCTTCCACAAGTGCTACCCTGTTCTTCTACCGACATTTATAACTTGTGACAGCCCAAAGCCTTGACTGAAACTTACATGCTTACCATAATTTTTCTGTTATTATTTTATAGATTTTTTTCCTGGGGCCAATTCTGATCAGATTTTGCTAGTCTCCACCAGACTCCTTTGCAGGCTGAATAAATAACAGAAATCGGCTAAGCCAATTTCTGCTATTTATTCAGCCTGCAAAGGAGTCTGGTAGAGACTATTGTATAGTGGTGTTATGCCAATCATAATGAATCAAAATAGTTTATAGATCAATCATGAACATTGCAGCTGGAGGCTGAATTGCGCTCATAGATGTACATTGTTAAAAAAACGTTCACGACTACAGTCTTAAAATGGAATTGCGACGGTTGAGATGCTTCTGACATTAAAAATATTATGTAAGATATCTTTTTGGAACATTTCACATATTCTCAGTCATTCACCTGTTTCCCATCCCCAGAATGCAATGCGAAAACGGGTCTAAACCTCATTTGCATAGAACAGGAAGGCATCGAAATGATCCTGTTGATGTTAAACAGCTTATTTTTCAGTGTGTTTTGGGGCATTTTATGCTCAACGTTAACTAAATTACTATGGGTTGAATCTGACAACAAATATCATTTCGATGCCTTCCTATCCTATGCAAATATGGTTTAGACCCCTATTTTCGCATTGCATTCTGGGGATGGGAAACTGGTGAATGCGATTCCAAGCTGGAGGTTCAAAGGTCAGTGTTTGTTTAAATCTGATCAGCTGTTTCTCTTTAAAATGCAAATGAAGGACTTCGAATTAAACGATGGCTTTTTCTGCAAACGGCAAGCGGACATGTTTAGCCATCCAGTGGAGAGGTGCTTTCTGAGATTGAAATTACTGGTGAGTGCACATGTTTGCTTTTCTATAGAAACCTATGGTATGGGTATTTCCTGGTCCTATTTTCAGTGATTGATGTATCAAGGAGGTTATTAGATTAGACCTCAACCAGAACCGATATTTGTTTGCGCAAGCGACATTTTGGAGCAAGATGCTCCGTTTCGTGAAGTTACGACGTAAACGTCTTTTAGCTCGTCTTTCTTGTCTTTTGTGCGGCGCGAGTTTGTTCCAAGTCACCCATCTACAGCGCAGTTCGGCATTTCTATCTAGGGCTCGGTTGACTAAACTGCATAAACAAGGCAAAAAAAAAAAACGCCTGAAGACACCTGGGCAGTCAGGGTGTTTTGGGTTACGCGTGGTTCAAGGTCATAGGATCGGAGAAAACAAGGTCAGCTTAGGTCAGCTAAGGACGAGGCTGTACGCAAATCACTGGAAATTTTGTAGTAGCCTCTAACAGGCTTCGGGAAGCGGCTGAAAAAAAGTAGAAATTGCAGCATCTCGAAGCCTGGTAGAGGCTAGGTTTGTAGTGCGGTAATACAGAGTAATGCCTGTTGACATATTCAACATTTCATGTATAGAGGAGGATACGCTGTGGGGAAGGGGGTAGGCTCTCAAGGAGGGGGGTGTTGATTGGGAGAGGGGGTGAGCTATCGGGGAGGGGGTTACGGATACCGGTGGCCACTGAGTGGGAGAGGGGTGAGTTCTTAAATCTGAATTGCCATGTCAAATTATCAAAACCATACATCTACATAGACATTGCCGGCTCACAGTTTAACTCTATCCAGGGCTCGAAATACTGGGTGCATGTGCACCTTAGTGCACCCAAATTTGGAGCTGTGCACCCAATTCATTTCTTTGGGTGCGCCAGTGCACCCAAATATTTTTTGAGGATTACATATGTAAAGATGTTAAATGTATAGTAGTATACAACATAATCTTAACATCTAAGTGTCAGAAAAAAAATAAAATCATTGTTATAGTACTTTTCGTTAGAAATGAAACATAATTAGTTTTTGTTGACATTCTACTTTTTTCTATTTTATATAGTGCACCTACAGAACTTTTTGTGCCCCCATTTTTTTAGGTTGGATGCACCAGTGCATCTATTCCCAAAAATGAATTTGGAGCCCTACTGTCGAATGATAGCTGCAAAAAAGACAGTTGGTAGTCCTTCGTAGTCAACGAAAAGAAGACAAGAGAACAGAATTTTGAATCCACTTTCCTGTTTGTCCACTTAACACCTAATAGAAGTGCTTCCCTAAACCAAATCACAGCTACAAATCAAGTTACACACTGTAACTTTATCATGTTTTTTCCAACCCCTTAGCTTTTCAAGTGAGATATCAGCCTCGGTAATGTATGCATATTAAAATAATAAATAAACAAATAAATAAATAAGAATGCATCTCGATTCTACGCGGTGACTATATGCATTTAGTGCATTTATCTTTGCCAAATGTACACAACTAATAAATAACTATTTACCAATAAATAATTTATTATTTCATAGTAACAACACCTACTGAACAACCCATGGCCTAACCCACAAGCCACACCTCTAATACATACATTGATCCCATAATGTACTACTAGTATTATGAGCTGAATGTGTACGTCGAATCTTTTCTGCATACACTTTGCAGTGTGTATGTATCAAAGTATATAACGTGAACATGTGATGTAAAATGCAAATGTTTCACTTCGGAAGAAATTATGGATGATAAAACTTACGCAAAACCATCACAGGCTGACGAAATTCTGTACTTGATACAAGTGATATGGGTTATGTATTACCAAGAGGGTATAAACCTTCTTAGTATTACAGATGGT